GGGCTGTATTTTCCTGATGCGCTGCAGATTGAGCTAAGATCCCAGATCTACGTGCAAGTTGTTTGTTTGCCTTGTTCAGGATTTATCCTACGGCCCTTGTTTCAAGTAAATTCGAGCACAACCTGCATAAACTGAATCGAGTAAGGAGTTTTTAAAAAAAAGGTTGTTATAGGAGCCAGCACCTACGAAATTGGGAGTAGGTGAGTCTGTTGTTTCGAAGATTCTACGCCTGTCTAGTCCATCACTCTGTACTGCTATTTGTGAACACACTGTGAGTATTTTATTTTTTTTAAACGGTATCAACAGTAAATTCCGACATCCCCCTCCCCCTTCCTGAAAATAAAAACGTAGTGGTGTGAAAATCATAAGTTGCTTTTAAATGTGAAAAAAAACAAAAGAACTCGTTGATGATTTTAGAATAAAGAAACAGCCCCTGCAGCCACTCAAATTTAAATGTGAAAACATCGAGCAAGTGTCAGATTATAAGTATTTGGGTGTTACAATAGACAACAAACTCAACTGGCGTGTCCACACTTCTCTCCGGCATAAAAAGAGTGAACAAAAGACTATTTTTTCTAAGAAAGCTAAAGTATTTTAAAGTTGATAAAACATTGATGTCCATGTTCTACGATTCAACCATAGAAAATGTGATCAATTTTTGTATAACTGCATGGGCCGGGAACACAAGACAACAAGATAAAGATAAATTAAATCGACTAATACGGAAAGCATGTAAAATTTCAACATCTACATTCCCCAACTTGGATGAATTGTACTTAACAGATTGCACTAAAAATATTTAATTCCATCTTTGTAGACAACAAACATCCCTTGTTCCTCAAATAAAAACATCAGTCAGAAGTAAAAGACCTAAGCTTCTGATCTGTAACAAAGAAAGATAGAAGGTCATTTTTATCTTATCTTATCTCTTATCTTAGATTATAATAAGCTTATTGTCACGGCGACCCAAAAAGCTCCCAAAGAGAGTTTAGACCCCTTATGTCTAGTTTGCGGGACGTACTGATATCAGCACGTCTCGCTAGTTAGTCGAGTAAGGGCTAAAGTTTACTTTTACATGTAATACCCCTGAACTTGTATGATATACTACCCACATCCGGGGTCTCCATTCTGAGTGGGGACCACATAATATGTAATTGCGTCACCGTGACGTCATTCGCGAAAAGCGCTTTTAATTAATTTTTTTTCAGAAAGAGGGAGGGAGGGGGAGGGTACTAAATTTACTTTACCCGATTTTTTGTTCTGGAGTTTGGGGGAGGGGGGGTATATTGGGGGTTTTGGGTTGTTTTTGTTTTGTTTTGT